TGTATAGAAAGGACTCGCAATTCAAAATTTTAATCAAGACTCCTCTCTGATGATTGGGCAAAGTTCATCGAGTTGCATAAGATAAGATATGGTTCAAATGAAAAACGAAATATTTCACAAAAAAACGTTCTAGACACTATCATTTTCGAATATAAAAGAAAACAGACGCGAAATTCTGACTCTTGTAAAATGTGTTTGTTCCTTACTTGAACAATATTTTCTCTTATGCAACCCGATGAACTCTATGAAGTCATCATGCAAGAAGAGAAAAGATCTGCTAAAATTTTGAAACGTGAGCATTTTACATGTACTGTTAATATAGTACAATTCGAAATATCTCGACTGTATTTTAAATTTGTTAATTTGCCAGAGAAAGTTTGCGTTTGACCAAAATATGTCCAGTCTTATTAGCTAACAACAAAAACATTTCCATCATGGCATGCCGTCCAAAAAATCTTTGGTTTTTTTATACTCGTATTCGTCTATTTTCTTCTCGTTTTAGCTGACTTTTTCTTGTCCTTCTTTTTGGCAGCTATACTTGTTTGATTCTAATCTTCCATGCAAGTTATAATGTGATTCGGAAGAAGCCAGTTTCTTCTTATTCTTTCCTCTGTGTTATTCATCACATGTTTGAAAATCTTTGTCGTTTTCAGTGAATAGCTTATCACTGCAAGTCTTTTTTTTTGCGTTATATAAAAGTGTCTCTATTTGCTTATCATAAACTGAAAAGTCTCCAGAACAGAACAATATACATAGATAAGACTATATTTACAACAGCATTCATAGTCATCAACTGAAATAATAAGCAAAAGAAAAAGGTGAATAACTTTTTACGCATTTATATAGGTTGGAAATATTAAGATATTTGGTCAACAAACTCATTGATAACGTTTGAGTGAATCAAAAGCTTTTGACTTGATGATTTATTCTTTTACCTTTATTCTTTATCTCAAGAATTACCAACATGTACGTGGTCACATAAATACTTTCAAAACGAAAACAATAATACATTTACATGTTTAAGTCCAATGGTATGCGGCCAATTCCAGGCTGCATTGAACGATGAATGCAAATAATCTTTTCCGATTTGTAGCATTTCCTGAGATTTATGATCGCAACTGCTTTAAATTTCACCAGTATTGGGCGTCCAAAAGCATCGTTTTGAGTGTTTTCTTATGTTTTTATACAAATACTAGCTTTTGAAATATGATTTTCGAATAAATGCTAGAATGTCCTTTAAACAATGCTCTTGGCGAAATGTGCATGACTTTTTGTCCTTGTAATAAATGTCCATCAGAACAAATGTCCTTGATGAAATCGTACCTCGTCCGCAAGTGTTGTTATTTAAATATAATGCCACTGGAGCATAGATGTCGCAATAATTCTAACATAGTTCCAAAGGGCCCATGTGTGCATGAATGTGGTGTGTGTATTCTTCAGCCAGTGAATTAAAGGTCCACAACCTTTTTAAATGTAACTAAGAAGTGAGACAGAGGGAAATATTTTCAAATTCACATGATTTCAATAATTGATTATGATTGAAATAGATGTTTGTTTAAATTTGAATTCACATTACACTGAAAGAAATGATTCAATGAGCATGCTATGCTCGGTAATAAGTTCTTTGCCGTTTGTTTTGTAGAAATCAAGATCGAATCCCATCTGATGCACTATATTCAACGTCTTGAAAGTTGTGTTAGATTAAAATGAGTATATCATATTATGACAGTAACAGATCAATACTGTAACAGAACTGCCTTTTTTTCAGTCATGATGAGAGAGATTTAAGTAAATAATAATTGCACACGCGTCTCAAACTACTATTGTGTTTAAGCACTCTAAAATGTTGCATTTTGGACGATATGACGCACATTTGCTTTAAAGTTGTTCATAAGACTTCGAAATTCAAAAAATGGTTATATGCATAAGAACCAAAATTATTCGTCATTTGATCTTTTAAAAGTCTTTGAATTTAACTATTCTGAATATTCTTCATTAAAACTAAGTCGAGTTTATTGCTTTTTAAACTTCGTAATATTTGTCATCTGAAAATCGTTTATCTATTCAACAATAAGTTGTGTTCATTGATTCCTTCAGTTGATCACTTATCATCACTTGACGTATTATTACAACATGAAGTTTATACTTATTATCATGTATCAATAGTGTAATCGAGCATCTTATCTCTATTTTTTGAACTCGTTTTAATATATATATAATTTACGAAGAACACTATTTTAACTGACAAGTTTATCAGTTCATTGACTTGATTTACGGATGATGATCGCTCAATTAAGTCACAATTTCAACGATAAATAAAGATATATTAATTAGTTCAGTATTTATCTACCGCAATGAACTTCTATTGATTTCTTTCGAAAGCCAAGAAAACATTCTTGATTCAATAAATTCAATATTTGATCGTTACAACTGTTCAATGTAACGACGATCAATGAAATATGAATGAATCATCCTTCAACAATGATAAACTTATTGAACGATTAACAGCTTGTTGGACATTGACATATTTTATAACAAACATGATGATAATAAAAAAATCAATGAAACGTAAGTTTATTCTTCATTTAATAGTACATTGATATCCTTACATACTAAAATGAATTATTTACTTGTGTTTTGCTAAATTTTTAGGCTAATATGATAATTGTCACCTATCATATAATGTTGTTCTATTGATAAATTAAGTAAGCATCGATTTGTGAATAAATTAAATTACAAGGATAATATAAACTTGTGTCCATTCAAATGTATGTCAATCAATCATAATCAAAAACGAAAATTTTTTGTTTCGAACCATGTTTTTTCTCCCTATTATAACTTTGATAAATTATCAATTAACTGATTTTCACTTGATTTTGTTTACTAAATCAATTGTATGATTGAATTTTTTTTCATGTATTTGACATGTGCAGATTTCAAGATGTGCTCATATATTAGGAGTTTCTTTCCATAGACAAACACTTGAACTCATGCATGAATTATATGTACAATTAATGCAACTCATACGTTAAACATCTGAATATCATACAAATAAGGATACTTAGAATAATTAACTAGAACAAAATAAGAACAGCTATAATGCTCAAGATGAAAGAATTCTTCTTGCTATAGAGAATGTCTTAGCTGAATTACTCATATAGATATTCCTTTTTTGCTCAATCGTGACATGTATTGTTATTTAGACTGTGGATGTTTATTAAGAATCAAATCATTTTGAATATAACACTGAAAAGTACATATAAAAATTTAATTAAAAACAGTTTCATGCATTACAAATATTTCTTTCAGCGTTATGGTAGATGCTAAGCTTCAATGCTAGCTTATGATCGGACCAGACTTATGTTGGTAATCTGTGTAGTTGATACTATTTTTCAAGCAGTATTTCATTTAGGATCACCCTTACACGTATTTGAACTCAAAAAAAGACTTCAAGATGTGTCCATATTAGATGATTTTCTTGCCCACGATACTCAAATATTTGATGTGCAAGGAAAAGAAAAATTTGACTAGGAAAGTACTTTAACAATAAAGTTTTTGCAAGTAACATTAAAAATCAAATTAAGATATTTATTTATTTGTACTATACATAAACTTTTTACATATTCAATACTTAATGTGAAGATAAATTAGAAATAAAACTAATGCTACCGATCATTGGCAAAAGCTAACCTTCTCAGATGTTTATAAAATCACTCTTTATTCTTATTTTTTTTCATTAAAAATAGAGATAATGTATTTTACGTTCATTTACGAATCGCATAGTAATAAAACAGAAAAGAGTAAACTTGTATAACTTCATACGAGTCGTAGAGAGAAACAAAAACTAAATAAATCATTTTTTTTTTGATTATACACTATGATAAAGTTCATTACTAGTTAGTGACCTTTACTTATTTGTTTACCGGTTCTCTTTCTGTTTTTTTTCTTTTATTGATAAGTCACGAATTACTTTTTCGAATCTTATGTCTAGCATATTCTCGTTCAATATGTATTATATAAACTGAACTTAGTTTGTGCCACTTAGGAGTAAAATCGTATTTTTATTTCAATATTGTCAAGTATGATCTATTTCTTGCTTAAATAAGATCAAGACTTCTTCAATTGAAATAAATTATTTGTGAAACATGATCATATATGACTTAGTATTTGTAGATATTTTTGAAATAGTTTTTGCAAACTTATCGAATTGTACTTGACACAAGTTGTTACAAAATCCTAAATTAGCCTTACATCCATGACTTTTCTTTAAGATACATTGATCGTTTTAAAAGGTTTTTATTTCTTTTTCTTTAGCAAAATATAATGAGTGATTAAAATAGTTTATTTTGCGATTTGATTAATGAGAATTGTAATAATAGATTTCATGAATGGAAATGTTAAAAAAAAAAAACTATAAAAAAAATATGTTTTCAAGAGTAATATAAGAATATAATCATAATAAAGTTCAAATCATTTCTAAAAGAAAACTTATGCTTTATAAGTTATTCTTAAATAAGGCAAGGCTTGTCCATATCTATACACAATATATTCATCGTTATTTGGTTGATCAGCAAATTGCCCATGTACTGAATGAAAACCTCTCGGTGCAGACATTAATTCGGAGTTTAATGCTTGAAGTATTGCTTCCTTTCCTAAAATGACTTTACTGTAATACATGATGCGTGTTTGATCGCTCAGATTGGCTTCAGTGTATCTATGTGAAACACCTGGATTATCAGCAAAATAAGCACCGTGACCTAATAAACCATGAGAAACAAAATAAAAAACTGTTAACACGATCCTAGCGGAATAAAATGTGAAACACAATATAGAAAGTAGTAGTTAATGTATTGTAACGAGCCGTTGCTGATATAAGGTCTATGATCATATATCAACAAGGTCTGTCACGATTGTATAGAGTGTAGAAGGAATTATAAATCTCTACCCTATATACTTTAACACCTCTCTTAGATTGTGCTTCACAAAAATGACAGTCGAAGAATTTTCTGGTATATATTACCCCATTTTCCTTTTCCAGCCTTTGTTCCCCAATATCGATCATCAAATCCATCTTTTAAGATTCCATCAATTGCATCACCTTGTGTTCCATGAAATAATTCACGTTCATTTGGATTGTGTCCTTTACATTGTTTAGCAATTAATTGTTTCATTGCTAAATATGCTTCTTCTAATAAAGGATTTTTAATTTGATCAATTGAGAATACTCGTACATGATTATTAATATAAGTTTTCATTTGTTGAACTAGTGTTTTATATAATTCAATTGATCCAGGTAAAGGAACAAGAATATATGGATATATTGGTGGTGGATTTGGAATGACATGCATAGGTTCTCCAAGTTGTGTCCAACCTCGACTTTGCATTTTTTCAATACGAGCTTGAACATATTTATCAATTGGACGTAAAACTTGAAAACGTTTATTTTTTATATTATCAACAATAGTTTCTAATTCAATTGAATATGGTTTATATGTTATATCAACTCTCATTCCTATTTCTTTAGTATAATCTTTTTCTACTGATAAATTACTAACATCAAAATCAATTCTATCATGTGTTAAAGCAACATGAGGTTCAATTAAATCCATTGTAAATGGACCAGTTTTAGTATTTTCATCTAATAATATTATATAACGCCAATCTTCTCGAAATACTTTATATTCAATTTGATATTTATGCAAATTATCCAAAAATTTATCAATATCAAAATATTTATGTGATGGTAAATGGCAATCAAGATCTGATGGAATTAAATCTTTATTCAAATATGGAAGTGATAAACCAGCTGCATTAGGAGTATAAAATAACCATGTTGAAGGATCTTCAGTTGGTCGAGCTGAATAATTTCCAACAATCCAATCACGAACAAAACCTCCTTCAAGTCGACAATCAAATTTCGAAACAGCTATCCATGCAACAGCTTCCATTCGAGTTTCACGTGTTACTTTTGAACCTTTTAAACTTTTCCATAAGTCAATTGATGTTCGTTTACTATCAGTAATATAAGAAATTCTCTCTTCAATATCAAGACATGTTTTACGCATGGCTGGTTTAAGAATACGTGGTGGAACACCTGTAATAAAAAAACATGTATATTATCAACTCATTCAACACTTATTTCATGAAATTCATATTATATTTTAGCCAACGGTCACTGGGTACGTCTTATATCAACGAGGAACAACCGGCGTCGGATACCTCTCCAAGGTTCCTTAGTGAAAGAAAAAGATACTGAATAGGTGCAAAAGAGAGACTTAGACTATTCTAGAATATTCAAAAGTCTGTCTTGAAATATGAATGGATGAAACCTGTTCGTTAATGTTCTAAATGCAGTTTTTGATTGTTGTCCAAGTAAAAGCTTACATATAAGATGTCAATGGCAATGGGTGATGATGTAATGATATGCCATAGTTGTCATATAATCAATATAAAAAGCGTGAACTGATCAATTTATAGCTCTAGGCAGTAATCAATATCAATGTTCTTCAGCTTATCGAGATATATAATTGTACGTTGAGACTTGCTGTAGATATAATGGATATGTACAACAAGTTTATTGGTCAGATAAAGCGATGTTTAGACTGATAATAATGTTCGACTAAGCAAAATGAAATAGAAAAACTAAACAAACAACGAACGAATACCAGTACGGCATCTAAGTATAAACGTGCTTAAAATAAAGTATTAAAAATGCAAGAGATGACTTGACGTGTAATCTCGACTCGATTGACAGAATCATTTTTTTGTAAGATAAACCTTGATTTTTATGTTTATAAGATAAAAAACGATTTTGAATATGTTACACTGGTTTAGTCAAGATGAATTTAGATTCTTGGTGTAACCAGATGGAAACTTAAGAGATCTTAGTTAGCTAAAGGGCTTTACGCCCCCACTTCTTACAAACGTTTGAGTTCCGCTTAAAAAGTCGCCTAAATTCCTTCTAGAAGCATGGGCGGCGGAACGATTTTAACTTAGAGGAGGCTCAAAATTTTTTTCTAGGCAATGATGAGAGATGGAACAAAAAAGGAACTATTTTCTACTTTTTATAATGTTCGCTATATTTTAAACGCATTTTTGGATTTATTCATGTCAAAATTTGAACCATAGTGAAAAATTTTACGGCAACGTTAACTTTTCTGTTGGATAATTAGCATGTACATAAAAATCTTACACCTAATCTAATGTGAATATAGCAAGGCAGAGCTAAAAGCAATTCTCACGACCGAAAATGATTTCATGCTGTTTTTTTTTGAATGAACCATTGCAGCTATTCTTCTATTCCACGTAAACTAATTTTTCTTCATATGAAGGATATCGATATGACTAAAAGTGATCAGCGAATAAAATGTGCCAAAAGTCATTGTGACTTATTAAATACATTTCAATGCACTATTATTCAAGCTGAATCTAATATTTTTTATTTCAAATGGGAGCTTAGGAACACTTTGTTCTTAAAGATCAAGTTAATCAACAACGTAGCAAAAGCAGGATTTGTAGCTACAAAAAGAAAAACATTAGGCTTTTTCTATGTCAAAAACAATACAGTGTTACTTTCTATATCTACTAGAACTTTGTTCGTCATTGTGCACTTCAGATCATTTAGATCTTTCAGTATTGCTTGACAGCCATTTTCTGACACATTTTGAAAAGAACCAATAACTGATGCATTTTCCCTCGGTAGGTCGTTCGTGCCTCTTCGAAAACCATTAAGGCCGTGAAAAGTGTGCGTTGGACTATTTAACAATACATGTTATTATTAATATTGGCTTTCTTGCTCCTTTTTCTCGAGAATATATCAGGATGAGTATTTGTAAAGTCATGAGGATAGATTTGAATGATTTGAAGTTTCTAATAACGATTGAAATTCTAATAGATATCGAAAAAACGCTTCATATCGTTTTCCACATAGAGAAAAACCTCATTTTATTCTTTTTTTGTATTCGCAAATTCCACTTTTGCTACATTGTTGCTGAAACGGGCCTTTAATAATACAGGCATGTTAGCCTCTTCTTTCAAATAAAATAAGTTTTGTGTTAAGCTTCATTGCTACAGGAGTTACATGTATTTTCAATAGTAACCTTTGGCACATTCTGTATGTTCGTTATGTGTTATAAACAGGGAGTTTTAATGCGGTCAGTTAAATTAGTTGATAACATATTCCCACTAACTACGTGAATATTAGTGATAATACTCATTTTTTTTCTTGTTCTTTTAAGAAAGACATGCTTCGACGCTATTTAGTAAAGATTTTGTCTGCCAAAAGATTCATGTTCATCTATTACTTCAAAATTTTTTGTAAAACTGAAACAGAGATAAATGTTTGTGATCCGAAAGTCATCGAGGCACTAGAAATATAGTGATACACATGGACTATCTAACATTTGACTGGGTGTACCATTCAAAAACACGAGTCAACCTTTGTTCAAAGAGTACTCGCTAATAAGACGTAAACTTGCGATTATATCTTTAAAATATTTTTTAGTATTTGAGCCTCCCCAAGCCTTCCCTATATTTTTCTACGGGAGGCTCGAGCCTCCCCAAGCCTAGTGGCTCCGCCGCCCATGTCTAGAAGTGCTACCGTACAGTCTTTATCTTCCAATATTATTGGTTTTTCTGCAGTAATTTTTTAAAGGTTTTTCGGTGGTTACCCTAGTGTATCTATATTCACTTTTGTTCTTTCATACCCTACTTAGCGTTATAATTTCAATTTCAAATGATGATTGGGTACCGTGAATGAATAGTTCTTTTTGTCATAAATTGATACATGTCGAATTATTGAAATTCTATCACAGATATACGGTCAAAAAAGTTGTAAATTGACTTCAGAAATTGAATGTTTGAAGTTTCAATATTGTAAATGCAAAAAAAACTGAAATTGAACATGTTTGGATTTTTCATTATTCATATTATTTTGTGTCTTCTTCATGTTTGGAGTAAAACTCATATTACATATATATTAATTGATAAAGATAAAATAGAAATAAATACAATTATTTACAATTACAGAGTTATTTTAGCACTATTTTTGTGGCAAAAAAAGTTATTCTGGTATTACTTGAGAAATGAAATTTTAGTTTATAATAATCTTATGTTCATATTCATCATCTAATTCTTGAAAACAATTATAGTGCATCGTTATGTACATATCATTGACGAATGAAGCGAAACATTCAATAGTGTAATCACAATTATTATTATTTCTACAAGATTCTCACATCAAACGAACAAGCTCTTAAACAACCGTAAATCGTCGTTCATCGATTTGTAGCATGACTAACTATTGAGACCATTTACGGACCTAAATGTAACTGTTCACAGGATTCCTAGTTGAACACAAAGTATGATCGTTGTATGAGTGAATATCTCTTCGTATTGTTTACAGGAAAAGACAGTCATTTCGCAGTGTACACGGATTTTGTACTTCTCATCTTTGTATACTACTTCTCGGTCAATATCATTCCTAATGTCTAGGTATCAATTCTCATCCTACGCAGTTACTCATCTCACAATTGCTATCTATGGTCATTTGTGCCATAGTTACTATATGGTAACTGTGTTACAGATAGATAGACACATGAGAATTTCTGTTCGTAGATTCTATCTTTTCAGTTTAGGAGAAAAGTAAAGCACCAGTAAAAAAGAGAAAAACTTCTATTCAAAACACAGAAATCATTTAGAACATGTCGTTTCGTTGCCTATGAATCATTCTTGGAAAACCACTATGGTCTGCTAGAGATTTTGTTTTTGCTCATAGTATTTTGTATTAGAATAATGATGCTAAAGATCATATCTGAGTTTACTATTTTAGTCTCAAAGACGATACTAGGATTTCTTTTTTCTTACCTGCGTTAGGATGTCGAATAACAGCACAATTTCTTAACCATCCCAAAAACGATCGAAATTCGTTGTATGCAAATTGATTTTGTGAATCACGTCCTTCGATTGTTATTTCACATTCATTATTTGTTATATTATTATTATTAACGGTTATTTTGACTTGGTGTTGAGCTTCCCAACGCCATTTCATTGGATTAAATATCGAAGGCATTTTGGAAACACCCTCAAGATTCCGTTGCATACGTTCATAATCAGTTTTTACAGTTGGTGCATATTCATTTGATAAATTAAATTTCATTTCAACAACTAATTGTTGTAAAATATCAAGTTCAGCATCAAGAACAGAACCAGCTGAACCCTCTAAACTAAGAATATGATTATTCAGTTGTATTTGAACATTGAGATATGCCTTTTTTGCATTTGTTAAAATATTATCAGAATTTAATTTTGCTTCTTCAGCTGCATTTAATTTTATTTGTCTTTTAAAACTATAAGCAATCCATTGTGATTTTATTTCGCCAACAAATGATAAAACAGCTGTTGCTCGAATAGAAGATGAAAATCGAATATCACGAGCAATAACAAGTGAAACAGGTGATGAAGTTATTGCTCGAATAAGAGTTGATTGAAGATCTAAAACAGCAACATCTTCTTTTGGAGGAGAATATCTTGTAAATAAATGAGTTTTTCCTTGTAATTCTTTCATTGATACAAATACATTTTCTCCATATCCATTTAACAAAGATTTTGCAACGGATTCCCAATCATCACTTGAAACTTGTGCTTTTTCACGATATTCACTTGAAAGATTAAATGACTTTTCCAAACTTACATATCGTCTTAATGCTTGTTTTAAAACATGCGAAATAGCCGTTAAGTTTTTAGCTTGACATACTTTAGATAATCTAAACTGTTGAGCAGAAACACTTTTTCTTACTAAGAGAATTTCATTCATAACATTTAGTAAAGACATAAAGTCACCTTCGGACCTTTTCATTGAATCTGGTATTGCTTTTAGAACTGATGATGTATTTAAAACACCTAAAATAGCTGAAAGAGCAATAAGATCACGTCCACAATTGTGTTGATTTAAAGCTGATAGAACAGATTTTGACATAGCTAATGAACCAAAATCAGGTAACTTAGAGATTGCAACACCAACTGATGTAAGTTTATCTTGTGAATCTAAAATATCTAAACACAACAAAAATCAGATCGGCAATAAATTTTATTTCTAAGAAAAACTTACTTAATCTCTTTAATTCTTCAACTGCTGCGGTGATTGCTGATGAACTTGGTGAATCTGGTAAGAATTTTTTCATATAATTAAGTCCATTTTTAATTAAAGATTTTCTTAATGAAAATTCAATATTAACTAATTCTGATTGACATATTTGTGGTGTTGGATATTTTTTATCTTCAACTTTAAAAT